TTCGCTTAAGCCAATTCGACTTGGAGCACTTTCGCTTATCGGCCGAGAAGGGTCATTGGAAAACTTTACCAGGCGTTCCTAATATCACCACAGGTAACCCACAAAACTGTTATACTTCGAAAGAAAAAAACAAGATGGCGGACGAAGATGGTGAGGAGTCAAAAACTATTTGAATGCAGCTTATTATGCATATATTGCACGAATTTTGGTAGCTTTTTTGCTTAATAATGAAATTRCATTTTACAGAAATAAAGAATTTCGTAGAAAATCTTGTACATCAAAATAAGCCCGTGGAAATTATAAGAAGATATATAAAGAAAAAATTCGACATCGATTGGTCGTAAGTAGCCTTTACTTCATTAATTACYAAGCTTAATTATAATCTTACATTTTTGTTATTATCTAAGCTAAGATTTCCAGATTTACGCCCCATTCATATTATTATGATTTGTTACTTGTACACTTTTAGCATTTAAGTTTATTAGACTTTTATTGTTTTAATTAAGGGTATATAATTTCCCTTAAAAACTTTAAGCTTAAGCTTAAGCCTATATATTAAGACTTAATTAAGTTGAGCTTAADGTTGAAAAATAATCTGCCTGCCTAGGAAAAGAACACTTCAAAGATTTCAGAAGAAGCATGGTGTTCATCGTCATGACCAAAATCTTCTTCCTAAGGATGTTATGTCTGYCATATTGGTAGGTAATATTATGTAGAAGGTCAGCAGGAACAGCACACTTGAAAGAGGGATTAGGATTGATGATGTCATACACTAGAAATATGGTTAAAAACAGCTTACCCAATTGCTACAAAAAATTGCACTTCATTTGTCTAAAAGTAGGAAAAGGGACTTTCATACACCCAATAGATGCTCCTTTGTAGGCCTTGTCTTAGTTTATTTTTTCTTCTCATTTTTAAAATTATAGAAATAAATAAAATGGGAGTGCCCAACAGCTTGGTTACAGAATGATGTGGACCAGACTAAGGAGGCATGGTATTCTTGCAAAAAGGTGACTAATTAAGCCCTACAACAAATGATTATTCAGTGCCTACTGTATGTAAGCATACTGTATGTTTGTAATCTGTTCCTCTCTGCTTTATATGTATATTCTACTAGTCAATCAAAATCTACCCTCTAGTCCATCATAATTTATTTTTTAGCTAACTCTTTTTATGGTAATAATAACTATTAATGCCTCACATGACCTGTYGAACAACTGTTTCTTGGTAACTGGTTGTCAGGTCATTGACAGTTAATGGTCAGCAAGCATCAAAATACGAAAGAAAATAATGAAGAGAAATAGATTAGAACTCCAAAACAAGGAATTTGGCTTTCAGTTGATCTCTCTTCAGGAAGTCGGTATACAGGTTATTTGGCGGGGAGCTAATAGTTACTATTTCCCTTTTAATGGTATACAACATACTGTAATAAAGAGGGGTATGAATTAGACATGTATGAATTAGACATGTATAAATTAAAAAGGGTTATATAAATTCAATAAGATATTTTATTATTTTCTATTTATCAATGTAGGGATCAAGTTGCTGCTTGCATGCAAGTTCTTGGGTTACAGAACCAAACACCAATTCAGAGAAGAAAGCATTACCCAAACTACTTTTCCAAGGTATTATACTAAGCAGTTATACTTATGAAACAGTTGATGAAATATATAAGTTGTACACCATGTGAATGAGGTAAGAATACTGACGGTTTAAGTCCTTCATTGGAAAAAAGTGAGAAAAGAGAGTAAAGACAAAGGACTAACATCCGAAACGTCAGTATTTTTACCTCATTCTTTATCAAAATTTATAATAAGTTATTATTTGAAATTTCAGTAGTGCTTACTAACAAAAATTTCCTCTTCCTATTAAAAGCTTGGAAAGTTGAAAGGTAGCTTGCCAAAGAAAAAAAAAAAAAAAAAAGAACATTTAGCCCACTTATAAATGTTATAATATTTAATTATTGGATGCTCTTTTCTTAACAACCAGGTCCTCAAATTTTTTGAGAATGACTTCAGTCCCAAGGGATGTGTGTGTGGCACAACACTAGCTTTGCATCCACGCAAATTCCTGGAGTATTGCAAGTCAGTCAATGAAGATATAACTGGGATAACTGAAAATTCCATAAGAGCATTTGTGAAAGTCAATAACATTGGGTGTATTGGTAAGAAAATGCGATTCAGAGGAGAGGGAGTGATGACAACCGCCATCCATTTTTCAAAAAAATGGATGCCAGTGGATGCAATCAAGAAATTAGATGAAAGTAAGCCTGTTTTCGTATGTTACTTTATTGAAAATTAACAGTAGGAATTTTGTGATTAATGGTCATTAATCTACCAAGTAATCTTACATTAAACTGTGCGACTGCAACTATGCAGTGCGCCTCATGCATTATTCATGACTGATGGGCGTTCAACCTCCCACGATTACTATCGGTCGAGTATCAAAAAATTCATAATATCCTTCTTTTATTAATGTATTCACATTAAATTACGTCCAGACATGGATTAATCCATACAGAATAACTTAGTACAGAAGTCATTCTGCAAATACTTGCCATACCTCAGTTGCAATATGCAACAAGTAGTTATATAGTTAAAAAATATATTTATATTCATTCTCATTCACTGATTAAAGTAATAAATTTCCTTCATTTTAGAATTTGGAACAAGAAAGAAAGGAAGAGGTAATGTTCTTTTATGTTTTTCTTTTTCTTTTTCTTTTTTTTCTTTCCTTTTTTTTTTTCTTTTTTTTTTTGGAGGGGGGATGAGGTGGATTCAATTAGTCATTACTTTGTTCCATGAGAATGCAAACACTTAACGTTTGGGTCACAAACTCCAATCAGGAGGTGAGTATTTTAGATCAGCAGTTATTGAAAGAAAAAAGTTCGACAATATATGCTTAATAACTGCTGAATTTGGCAGTCAGGCCGGTGACATGTAATGTCTAATTTAATTTTCAAAAATCATGGACTGATGTGAAAACCCATTTGAAACTCACGAATCTGTAACGCTCTATAGAGCTTTTTAAGACTACATATTATCGTGTGTCTTATTTAATTTACAACAGAAGAGGATGCAGACAGTGTGATCGTTGGGGCAGTTGGAGAAATTTCGGATTCTGGAAGTGAGTATTTAAATCTAAGTGCATATCTGGAGACCTGACTAGTTATGTAAATTCACGCTTCTTAGTTTAGCATTTTAGGTTTTAAAGGTTATTTCCCGCCATAGTCATACTTTGCCAAAGGCAGTTATGATAATTTGAAATGGCGAATTGCCACCCCAGATATTTATGATCATAGAAACACTGTCGAATGCTTTAATTATTTTTTTGCTTTAAGATTTTTATTAAATACAGATTTTTTAACATCCTTTTAGGTATGAAAAGACCAAAAGCCAGAATCTCGTCGCGACTAGGTGAGTTATTCCGAGTATATTTTTTGACATGATTATAGTCCTAATTATAATTAAAAAGTATATTGTATATTCACAGCTACCAAGAGAAAGAGATGAGTATTTCCAAGAAACAAGAAAGTTTAGGCAACATCGCAAGACTTTGAATCGTGCAAGCAAATCGTAGAGTATTCAACCTTAGTAGATTCTATATACCAGTGTCGTACCAATATTTTGTACATTCACAGCTGCCAATAGAAAGAAACAAGAAAGCTTAGAGAACATCGGTAATTTGATTGTGGAGAAGTCAATTTTAGTAGATTCTAACGAACAGCGTGGAAACAATTTGAAATTGAAAATTGAATAAATGCACGAAACGCACACGGATCAGTACTATATAAATAGCACAAAATAGTAAATTGTTACGATTGAGCCATAAATAAATGGGCGGCTAGTTGGAGCAACAAAATTCCCTGATGATATTTATTCGATAAGTTTGGTATCGCAATTCCCATATTTTTCAATTCAAAGATAAAGGAAAAGGCGACAATTGTAACGATTTGCTTTGGATGCAATGTAAAAGAATTATGCTCGAGTACATTTTGGAGTTTGCGAAACAAACGTCAGCTTATTATTATTATTTTTTTAAGTTATTATGATTGTATTGAGAGATTATTGCTGTGATTAAATTCTAATAAAAGACTGATTCTATTCTCTTGAGAGAAAACAATATTTGTTCAATATTCTTCACTCATGTCATAGGACAAAATGTTTGTCAAGTTTGATTATTGTAGATCATCATAGAAAACAGAAAACAGATTATCAGGCACGAAACTTAAGTAGGAATCAATTAATCAATTAAGAAAAGTAGGTCTATTTGCTCTGAGTGTTA